ATATTTCCATGCACATTTTAGAAATAAAGAATAAAAGGGAATGTATAAAGTGGTGGATAAATGTGGCAAAAACAAGGAAGCCTTGCAAGATCAAAAGATTGGAGAAGTCAATAAATAGTGTTGCTGAAACCAGATCCAGCTATGTTTCTTTTCATTTATCTCATGCCTTTAATTTCTTTGGTTTATTATTTCTTATACCTTTTCTATTGTTGACATATTGTTGCTTACCCAAAAAGACAACAGCGTAATAGTATATACTGGGTGTATATTTTAACAATCTAAAACTCCTAAATTCCCCTATTTTACCACATACATATTTATAGAGAACATCTATCTATGTGGTTGCTAGGAGTCCAAAACAAGTTGATAGCAAATGATCAATCAATTAAATGCAAATTTTATGTACCTGTATACTGAAATGCACTCTTACACTTTTATTATGCACTGAAGGTGTTACCTAGTTGGGTAATGAAACATCTGAAACAAAATAACCAAGCTGAGAGAGCACCAAGGATTCAAAAATGTTACTTTTTTAATGAACGTAATGTTCAAAGTTAATAGTGACATATAAAGGAATTAGGATATTTTATTACTATTTTACACTTCAGCAAGTTATAATTTTCTTTAAACTGTTTTGGTCTAATTATTCAGAAATAGTTCCTAGCTAAATTATGTAGCATCCTTCTTGAATTAAGAACGTTTACGTGATTAGTGGCTTTAAATCCGGGGTGTCAAATTTCACTGAGGGCTGCATAAGGGTTGCGTTGGACCTCAGGAGGCCAGGGTGGGTGTGGCCAGCTCAATGTCATTCGTGTCGGTGGCGCCTTTGGTGGCCCAAGTACTCTGCCAGCGAAAACAGGGTCCCGAGCTCCGTTTCCAACTACAACGGCCTCCTGCAATTCACTGCCAGGGAAAACGGAGCTTGGGAGGGTCGCACACAACCCTCCCAGGCTCCTTTTTCACTGGCAGAGGCACCGCAGGTCGGTCCTTTGCTGTTTCCAGGGTGGCCCTGTGGGCCAGATCTAAACATCCCACTGGATGAATCCATCCCCTGGGCCTTGAGTTTGACACCCGTGCCTTAAATGAAGTATTTGGAGAGCAGCTACAAGTGTTGGCAACATTAGCATTTATTTTCTGGATATGTATTTCAACTGTGAATAAGCATAGCTATCTAATACTAAAAGAGAAAGATACAGAAAACAACATGGACAGAAGGGAAAATAAAATATTTTAAAATCTGAAACATTTAAAAATGTGTTCATTCAAAGCAAACTTTTTTGTCCGTTTAAAAGAAATGGGAATAAAAAGACAGACCGTAATAATTCTGAAGACACCACCGCCATCATTCACCATCACTTTATGAAGATTTCTAGAAACAAGGCCTTGCAAATCCTGGCTTTCCCATACAATGGTGCCTTCAAAACTCTGTCAAAACAGCCATCATATACTATTAACAGTGCACCAATATGTGAACACATTAGATAAATGTATTTCAGAAATCTTTTTAAATGCTTTGAAGACAGAATAAATCTAAAGCATTATAATTTAATTTCAATACAGACACAGATATAGACTAGTACTGTGCAAAGCATTCAAAAAGAAGTACTTTGCAATGGTCAGAGTGTGCCAAGCCCCTTTCTTCAAAGCACTGAAGAATCTATGTGTTTTGGAAGGCTTCTGCAATTGCTTTCCTGACTGTGTTTACATACTGTATATGTATGTAGGCCCAGCTGCTTCACTAGCAATCCCAAAGAAAGTTTTCAAAGCAACTGAGCAAGAATTCCAAACAATATGGCTTCTATAATGCTTTGCCCAGATTAAGACTCTTTGCAAAGCACCTGTTCCAAATGCTTTCAACAACCCAAAATATATGCCTAACTCAGCTGACACCTGCACATTATATTTTGTAATGAAAAATCAGTGATAAGACAAAGATTCATAGTGGGGAATAATTCTTAAGTGGTTAAATAGAATCCTTTTTTAAAAAAAAAAAAAAAAAAGTACTACCAGCTAGTAAAATACCAGAGTTCTTTTTACATGTCTGTCAAAGATACAGACCACTGGTATCTGTGGTTCCTGAAATATTGCAATCTTCAAAAATCAACAAAGAAATCTAGCCACTTTTAGTATGAAAATGTGACAAAGTATTTTGTAAGTATGGTACAAGGCAAAGGATGTAAGCACTTGGATATGTCAGCAAGTGCCTAAGACATTTTAAAATTACAGTTAACTAACCAGGTTATGATAGCCTGATTCATTTAATGCTATGCTTGAGTGATCAGGCTATTAGCAATTAGAGTAATTCCTACTGAAAATGCTAGAATTTCCTTTCGACAAAGCATGCAGAGATTTTTATTACACTGGTAAATTTTCATCTAAAATCAGAATATCTTCAATCTTGCAAGTATAACTATTGTTTGTAACCTCGTCTATTATATTACTGCAGAAAACTATATTGCTAGTTTTCTTTATAATAATTTCAATTTATATTCTATATGATACTATTCTATGAATTCTAGGCAGATTACTATAATACATATAGTCACAATAAATCCATAAACTTTATATTGGACCACTCATTAATTAAAATGCTGACAACTGTATATGAGATTTTCCTCTGAAAAGACTGTAGAGAATCAAGAGCTTTTTTCCTAAATGACAAAAGGGAAAGAACTATCCTAACCTTAAGAGCAAGCTAGTCCACAGAGAAGACTTCTAATCTCCAGGGAGAATGGAAACCAGAGCATTCTTCTTGCATGTATTGGGCAAAAAGATTCTACCTGGAGTCACAAAGGTAACAAGGACCCAAATGATAAAAGGTTTTGTAAGTAATAACCAAGACTGTGAATTGAATCTGGAAGCCAACCAGCACCGACATAGCTCCTCTAAAATCAGTGTCATTCTAATGTATATCAGATCTATCAGCTGATGGGAAGGGAGTTGCATTCTGTGCCAGCTCTGCCTTCTAAATCATCTTCATTGACAGCCCCATATTATGTGCAGTTAGCTGTCTTGCCAAGAGACAAGTATATGAGCACTTCTGGTCAATAATGAGAACTTATGAACCAGGCAAACTTGACTAAATATTTTCCTTGTCAGAACTTCTACCTGCTACTTGGGTCCAAGGTTATATATACAGCCTCAACTCCAGCCATCTATGGAGCAACATTTTGCATCAAATTCTCCTTAAGGATCATCATCCACCCTTCTCCCCAATCTTGGTGTTGAAGCTGATGCAAAATGCAAAACCCCTCCATCTTCACGCAATCAAATATTAGTAATGTATGTTATGTCTATTCTTTCCTCCATCACTAAATCACAGAGGGGCAAGATCTAACTACTCAGAGATCTGAAAGTGTTAAGCCAAATTTGAGGCCACGGTTTCTAGAAATCCAGTATATTAAGGCCCCAGAAAGAAATTTGATAAGAATTCGGTAAAGAACTTTATAAGCTGAGAAGCTCATGGCTTCTGCTATGTTCTTGGTTGGTAATGTGTTCCTAATTTTTTTTTTAAAGAGACACACCATTATAAACTACAGTGGCACAAAAAACCAAGATAAACCATCTATCATGTACTCTTCCCAAGTGCATGGCACAGTAGTCTCATTCATAATATATGCATTCATGGCATGGTTACTTGTACCATGGCTTATACAATTAACTCTAGTTTTCCAAGTATTTGCACAACACTGAAAATGTAGCAGCCAAATTGAATTCCATTGTTGCTAGGGTTTAAGGCAATTAATGCACTTTAAAGAGGAACAGCTGACAGAAATAACCCCAAACTAATTTATAGCTAGATTTAGTTAGATGCCTCTCTTTCATTTCAGTAATGGATGCTTCTCTTCCAATCTGTAGCTTGATCAACAAAATAAAATGCTGAGCATTTTCACAGGGCAGCTGCTACTAATTTATGTTATAACAAGAAACAGTGAGACTGACATCTTCACATTAATAAATGAATTACATCATAGGCTTTTCCAGAGTTGAACATATTCCACAAGATTCATATGTCACTTGTATATACATTACTAGGAAGTAGGTACTAAATAGAAAATGCAGAAATGAAATGCAATAAGCATTAATGATAACAATGTATGATAGTCATAGTTAAGAGCCCGAATATTCAGACCCCCAGAATAGCAGTAACATTTTGCAATAATCAATAATCAGTATTAGAAATGCTGACTCAGATCTAGGTTCCAATGAATTAAGTGGGATTTACTTTCAGATAAATGTGCAGAAAAAGTGCAGCTTTATTTTATAATTATTAATTATTATTAGGCCTGTCTTCTGATGACCAAAAAAAAAATGCCCTTCATTTTGACATGTCTTTAGAAACATATACACTGCTCAAAAAAATAAAGGGAACACTTAAAACAACACAATGTAACTCCAAGTCAATCACACTTCTGTGAAATCAAACTGTCCACTTAGGTAGCAACACTGATTGACAATCAATTTCACATGCTGTTGTGCAAATAGAATAGACAACAGGTGGAAAGCATAGGCAGTTAGCAAGACATCCCCAATAAAGGAGTGGTTCTGCAGGTGGTGACCACAGATCACTTCTCAGTTCCTATGCTTTCTGGCTAATGGTTGGGTCACTTTTGAATGCTGGCGGTGCTTTCACTCTAGTGGTAGCATGAGATGGAGTCCACAACCCACACAAGTTGCTCAGGTAGTGCAGCTCATCCAGGATGGCACTTTAATGCGAGCTGTGGCAAGGTTTGCTGTGTCTGTCAGCGTAGTGTCCAGAGCATGGAGGTGCTACCAGGAAACAGGCCAGTTCATCAGATGTGGAGGAGGCCGTAGGAGGGCAACAGCCCAGCATTAGGACCACTACCTCCACCTTTGTGCAAGGAGGGACAGGAGGAGCACTGCCAGAGTCCTGCAAAATGACCTCCAGCAGGCCACAAATGTGCATGTGGCTGCTCAAACGGTCAGAAACAGTCTCCATGAGGGGGGTATGAGGGCCCGACGTCCACAGGTGCCCAAAACCGTGCAGGACATTTGGCATTTGCCAGAGAACACCAAGATTGGCAAATTTGCCACTGGCGCCCTGTGCTCTTCACAGATGAAAGCAGGTTCACACTGAGCACATGTGACAGACGTGACAGGGTCTGGAGACGCCGTGGAGAACGTTCTGCTGCCTGCAACATCCTCCAGCATGACCGGTTTGGCAGTGGGTCAGTAATGGTGTGGGGTGGCATTTCTTTAGGGGGCCGCACAGCCCTCCATGTGCTCACCAGAGGTAGCCTGACTGCCATTAGGTACCAAGATGAGATCCTCAGACCCCTTGTGAGACCCTATGCTGGTGCAGTTGGCCCTGGGTTCCTCCTAATGCAAGACAATGCTAGACCTCATGTGGCTGGAGTGTGTCAGCAGTTCCTGCAAGACAAAGGCATTGATGCTATGGACTGGCCCGCCCGTTCCCCAGACCTGAATCCAATTGAGCACATCTGGGACATCATGTCTCGCTCCATCCACCAATGCCACGTTGCACCACAGACTGTCCAGGAGTTGGGGGATGCTTTAGTCCAGGTGTGGGAGGAGATCCCTCAGGAGACCACCCACCACCTCATCAGGAGCATGCCCAGGCGTTGTAGGGAGGTCATACAGGCACGTGGAGGCCACACACACTACTGAGCCTCATTTTGACATGTTTTAAGGACATTACATAAAAGTTGGATCAGCCTGTAGTGTTTTTTTCCACTTTAATTTTGAGTGTAACTCCAAATCCAGACCTCCATGGGTTGCTAAATTTGATTTCCATTGATAATTTTTGCGTGATTTTGTTGTCAGCACATTCAACTATGTAATGAACAACGTATTTAATAAGAATATTTCATTCATTCAGATCTAGGGTGTCTTATTTTTGTGTTTTCTTTATTTTTTTGAGCAGTGTACTTTAAAAGATGATTCTCACCCTAATAATGTGTCTAGCAGCTATGATGTAAACTAGAGTTCCCCAACGTTTCTCCCTTTGCAGACTGGCAGGGGGGGGTGAAGGACAGGGGATGGGGCCATATGGTAGACAAGCGTAAATGTGTGTGCAAATGGAGTGGGCACCATGTGCTCGCACAAGTGCCAATGCACACGTGTGCACATACCCTCGCCTGCCACTTCAGTGGCCCGGTTTCAAATGACTCAAGGCTAGGTAGTGGGCCAGATTGGGGACCCCTGATGTAAACAACACCAAGGAGCAAACTACTTTAGTTTATCAAAAAGTGCAGGAGAAATAAAGCCAGAATCTTAAGATTATGAACTGTCTGTATATCATTGAATTCAGCCTTTTTTTAAAAATGTGAAGATAATTGCTTCTTCTCTGATTCTGGAGATCTGCCATACAGTCTTTCACTGTCTTTTCAATGATAGCTCTGACTATGTATATCCATCCTGTCTACCTGCCCCGCCTGCCTGCTTACTTCCCCTTCTTCTTTCCTCCACCTTGCTAAGCATATTTTCCCTAGTCCACCTTATACTTGCATTATAATCCTAAAGCATATGAGTTTCTTCTTGTTCAACATCACCTTAAATTAGTCAGCCTTGTTTTTTGCAGTTCATGACACTCTAAGTGACTGTCCATTTATTGAAAGACATTGATCTTCTTTCTTTCACTTGAGCTGTATTTCTTCAAATTCAGTTCTCACATTAGTTGTCAGTTCATTGTAAAAAAAATATTGAAAAGAATATTCTGGTGTCCTGGCATACCATTAGCTCATGCCTCATTTTGGCATAACTGATACAATCTAAGGCCTTGCCGTAGTCAATAAAGCAAAGTTAAACCATCCTATCATAAGACCAACTTGTGTATATATTTCAAAAAGCTATACTTCAACAATGTGATTTTAAAAAATGTCCAGCAGCACAGTATCTGTTTTTGTTCCACAGCTCATTAATAAACACATAAAAGCATGAAAAGTCACAAACAAATCAATATTTCTTTAACCTACTCTCTTATGGTATCTATTTCTATCGTTATTTCTTTTGGCAGTAATATACTTAATCAATCTGAAGCTTCCAAACACTGAAGCTGATTAATCTTCCTTTCGGTGACACCTTTAAAAGCATGAAAAAAGATCAGCAGATGGACAAACCTCACCTTCATTTTCAACAAACTATTGTTGAAATTGCTATCCATGTTATATACTATCATATATTATCATATTCTCCAGGAACTAAAAAAATTCCAAAGGATAAATCAATATCTAATCCAATACAAATAATATTAATAATGTAATATCAATATTTTAGAACATTTTTAGAATATCCATGTTTTAATCCAGGAAAGGGTTCTAATTTATATAATGGAACGGGCCAGTTTGAGAGGCAGGTCAGCCTAGGAGATATGTGGGGGGATGGGGGGGGGTGTCAGGGATGCTGACGAGAGCTCTAGTATGTCTCTTCTTAAGAAGGCCCAAGCAAGTACTGTAGTGTCCAGCCTGTTCCATATTGACAGACTTGAAACCCAATGTTCCCATTGGTCCGTTTTAACCGCTACCTGATTGGACAACCAGGGCGGCTGTGATTGGCTCGCTAAGAGTCTGCCGCGATTGGTCGAAACCAAGCGCGGGAGACTCAAAGCGATGTCACTGGCCGCTAAAGCCCCGGCGAGCTCTATAAAAGAGCCGCCGCGGCTGCTATTCTTTTGAGCTGAATTTTAGCTGATAAATAAAGAGCTGTTGTTACTGAACCGGAGTCTCTCGTCTTTATGAGCCCAACCCTTCGAACATAACACAGCCTCCAACCTCCACTTTTGTAGACGTTTATTGAAAAGGCGGTGGAGCTTCAACTACACAAAACCATTATCTGGACCCTTTTCCATCAGAGTTTAGATTGAGCCAGGGGGTGGAACTGATCACACTTGTCAATGAATATTGATGAGACTTAAACAGGGTAATGCAATGTTCCTTATCCTTCTGGTTCCCTCAGTGCCCTTTATTACTGTCAACCATGATATCCTTCTAAACCATCTATAGGGGTTAGAGTTGTAGGCACCATTCTGCATAATGTTGTTCTGTTCTTTTATGAGAGGGTAATTCTATTTGATGCAAGAGGGAGATGAATAGTCAAGCTCTCTGGCACTGTAGTATGAAATGTCCTGGAGCTTTAACTCCTTTCTTCATTTTATTTAATACCTACATGAAAATTCTGGGAGAGCATATTATTTAAAAGGTTGATGTATACAATACATTATCTTCCATAATCAGATGATATCTAACACTACTATAACTCTACCTCGACTGAATAGCAAATAGTGAAAGTCTTGACCCAGTGTATGGAGGTTGTAAGGGAATGGATTGGAAGAACAAGTTAACATTTAACCTACATAAGGCAGGGTAGCTATTAATAAAGAAACCAAGATGCTGCAGTTCCAACATTAACTCTTAATGGAGTTAAGCTTCCCAAAAAGGATCTGATACATAATCTGAGGATTCTTCTGGACTTGCAGCTCCTGCTATATCAGCAGATAGAAACTATTGACGCACTTTGGCTGGTGCACCAGTTGTGTGTGTCCCTAAAACAGGAGGCACTGACAATAGTCATTCATTTCTTCACCATCTCCTGACCAGACTATTTATAAGTCAATCTACATAAGTCTCCCTTGAAGAGCACCTAGAAGCCACTGTTAGCACAGAATGCACATTAATGCCTCCTTACAATACCTATACTGAGAGAGCTACTGTGGCTGCCAGTTTGATATTAGGTGCATTTCCAGGTGGGATAATAATTTTAAAAAACTGTGCATGAGTTGGGTATTCATAAGATCATTTGCTCTAAATAGAATCTGCCTGCCCAAGATCTGAAAATAGATAGTACATGTTTAGAACCCCCAGAGGTGTATGGGGCCTTGGAGGTGAGCATTCTCTGCCAAAACTGTTTTCCTGTGGCATCAACTATCCCGTTTGCAGACATCCTTCCTATGAACCTCTGGAAAGTTGCTGAAGACCGGGTTGTTTAAGCAGGCATGCGGTGACTGTTGAATCAACAAAGTCTCACCTAGGATATATATGTATAAGTACTTCTTATTATGGTTTTCTTTTTTTATAGTTATGGTTATATTATGATATTTATAGTTAATTTTTTAAAATATTTTTCTCAGTTGTTGGATAATACTATTCGCTTAGATTCACTTGAAGGGTAATACAGGAAGCATCTATAAAATAAGAATAAAATGGGCATTTAAACGTTTTTACTAAAACTATTAAGTATCTGGAAATTATGGCAAATATAACTTTTGTATTGTGTTCTTAAAAACAATAAGGTGGCTAATATCTAATTAATGGACAAGCATTTAATTAGCATTCATTGTGCTCCTGAATTAACAATTTAGAAATGTCTTAATCCAACAACACTGCTGTCTGAATCCACAATCCTCTCTTCCATCCCTAATCTCAGAATTTAAATAGCTGCCTGGCAGTAAATGCCATCCCACAAACTGAACAGAAACACTCTCTTCCAAACAAAGCCCTTTGTGTTCATAGTTAATGATATTCAGTCGGCAGCATCTTCTCAACATATGAAAACCTAATTTCACTAAAAACAATGCTGTCACTCTCTGAAACCAGGACAAATGTTTTAAAGTTCATTTTTGCTAAAGTAAATACTTCAAATGTTTTGGAGTATAATTCTGACTACATTCCAGACAGATAGACCTAATCAGAGATTATAGGATCTATAATGTAGAATGTATGGAACACCCTTCATTGCTTATTCTTGTAGACTCATCTTACTTTTCTCCTCTGGTAAATCTGCAAGGACAACAGAGTTTTTAATTCCACTTTTAAACTAACAAACTTCTCCCATTAGATCTAAGCCCAGTAACATGTATTTACTTTAAACTATTATTTATTAAAGTAAGCCAGATAAAATGATGGTTTGTAATTCCGTCTTGTTCATTAGTCATAGCTTAAATCAGGAGTGGTCAACTTGTTACTTCCAAGGGCTATCCAGCATCATGTCACTTAAATTTGGAGAGAAAAAGTACTGTCAGCAGCATTTTTCTTCTTTTAAAAAAAATATTATTTGAACTTTAAAATAAGTATAATCAGCCCCTAGGACATCTCCGCACCTTGTCAACCTTGTAAGATCTCAGGTCAATATTTTTTCTACATATATTTTTGTTCACTGAGAATGATTTTTAAACCGCTTAGCAGAATTTTTAAATAAATTTTAAATTTTTAAACTGTTTAGCAGAATCAGCCTCAGAATTAGAGCCATGAACTGTTGAAGAGCAAACATCCCAGTCAGGAAGAGGGTTGAAGCAGGGAATTAGCCTGGACTCAACTCCATAAATTCAAGAGGACAAGGTATGACCACTCCCAAATGCCTTTGAGCTTTATTAGTTTTTCCCAAGTGAAAGCTGCTCATTTGGGGAAAGTCTCATTTTATGGGCAGAGAACAATAAAGCAGCTAGTTTGAACTTCCCATGTACGGGACTGGTTGTTCATGCCTGAATGAACAAAGTTGGCCAACTTTATAGAAATCAGGCTATGAAACAGAATTTTATTCCAGAGCTCACAACTTGTCCTCACTTCCAAATCTAAATCCATCTGGTTATTTTTCCTAGTCACCATTTATAATGACAAAGGTTTTAACTTTATAATTCCAGAATGCAATATAATGCCTTTTGTTTTCACCTCATGAGCAAAACGTATGTAATATCTTCTCTTTCTTTACTGCATGTGGAAACAAATTCAGGAAAGCTTATATTTAATTTCTATCATGTTATTAAGTTCTTAATAAGTTATTCTTTGAGGGAGATGGATTCAGAAATGTGAAAAATAAATGAATAATATCAAGCTCTTTAAATTTCAAAACAGAAAGGTGACTAGCAGGTCCTATGTGAGATTTAAAGTCCTAAATCCGTTTTTTATTAATTACAACAAAATTCTGAGCAAATATGAATAAATGAAAAAAGAAACGTCATTGAAAAGAAACAATGTACAGTATGCCCCATAAATACACTGCACATACCTCTGGCAGAATGAACTGTTCTACAGGTTTGTACCAAAGTCTGCTCACTTGCACTCCACAACTAGGTGGACTAAAACGAGCGCTGAAGAGTGCCTCCTATGGAAATAATAAGTAACCCATGTTACTCATGAGGTTCGTGCTGATGCTTGCGTGAGTGGGCCGCAAGTGCCCGCAACAAGGCTCATGCGAGTGGAGTCATGTGCGCGGGCAGCCGCTCACACAGCCCAGTGGTGATTAGCCTGTGGCTGGATATTAGACCCCGGACCACAGGTTGGGAACCCTTGCTCTCTAGAAGGTGATATGCAATGCACTTCTCTTCAAAGGGCCAGGCATTCACTCCAAGACAGCAAACATGTTAATCTATGGACATCTAGGGATAGTGAATTAGCATTTCATAACCATAGAGAAAAATGTACGTGATGAAACCAATTTTCATGTCA